GAGAGGAGGGGAGGATCACAGTGGAGAGGAGGGGAAACCCCAGCGGAGAGGAGGGGAGACCACAGCGGAGAGGAGGAAGGACCCACAGCGTCGAGGAGGGGAGGACCACAGCAGAGAGGAGGGGAGGCCCCAGCAGAGAGGAGGAAGGACCCACAGTGGACAGGAGGGGAGGACCACAGCAGAGAGGATGGAAGACCCACAGCGGAGAGGTGGGAGGACCACCGGGGCATGTGTGGCGCTGACGTGGCTGGCTGCCATGTGCTCCATGGTTTGAATGCATCCTCCAAATTTCATGTGTGGGAAACTTAATCCTCAACAGGGCAGTACTGAGAGGTGGAGCGTTTAAGAGGTGACTGGATCATGAGGACTCTGCCCTCATGAATGGATTAGGGGATTAATGGGTTAATGGACCAGTGGGTTATCAGGGAGTGGAACTGTTGGCTTAATAAGAAGGGAGCCCTGAGCTGGTCTGTGAGTACACTCAGCCCCCTCGCCACAGGGTGCACTGCAACGCCTTGGGACCCTGCAGAGCCCCCACAGCAAGAAGGTCCTCACCAGATGCAGCCCCTTACCCCTAGATTCTCAGCCTCCATCGCTTAAGAAATAGATTCCTTTTATTTATAAAGTACCGAGTTTCAGGTATTCTGTTATAAGCAACAGAAAACAGACTCAAACAGGGAGTTCGATTTGTATGAAGAAAGAGCAGTGCCCAGGAGGCCCCAGCATGGGGCCACACCATTCACTGGGGAGAAAGTGGTTTGGGAGAGTGGGCACCAATGGGTTCGTTCTGCCTTGTTGTTAAAGATACAGGTGCCTAATAGACTTCCAAACAGAGATAACCAGCAGACAGTGGATGAGACATCACTGGGTGCCTCACGTGCTGGTCATGTGAAGAGGTGGGGAAGACCTGGCTCAGGCTCTCAGGCCACCCTCACACTGGTGTTCACTGATTCCTCCCTGCCTCTTCCCAGTTGTTCCTCCCTGGCTAAGCCCCCTCCTCCCGGGCCCCAGACGGTCTGTGGATGGTGGTATCAGTTACCTTGTCATGCTGCCAGGCCCTTGTGGGAAGGCCTGCATGATGGGACCTCAGGCAATGCTCTCCCTGGGCGGCATCCTTCAGTTCATTTCCCTAGGACAAAAGGAAAGGACATGTGAGATGGTGCCCCAGTGTTCAGAGACTTGGTAGAGTGCAGGGGTTAGGAGCTCTGATTTGGAAATGAAACCCAAGGTTGGGCACCGATTCTGCAATCCATAAGCTGTGTATGAGTTGGGACTGATTTCTCTCTTTTTTCCAAACTGTAAGTTTACTAATCTACAAAATGCAATGATGTTATACTTTATGGTGATTAGACATAATAAAATACTATATATTAATAACTTAGTGTCTGTGTCCTAAAAAAGCAACAGAACTTCTCACCAATTGGAGTTATTAAGCTTTGACCTATCCCTTTCCCAATGAACACTGCTCCAAGCATACAGCCACAATGAACATAGAGAAAGTTTAGCAAGATTTAGCCACTCAAAAATAACATAAAACTTTCCAAGGACTAGATGGCTAGAACACAACGTGGTGAGTGGAACTCCTGGAACCTTGTAGATTCGGAGTCCAAAAATAGGCAGGGAGAACTGAGAGTCCCACTTTTTCAGGATATCCAAGATTCAAGAGACCTGAACTAAGGTCACCACATGACCTGAGGCAACAGTTAAGCCCCCAGACAAAGCTGAAAATAGTCTATCACCTCTGACCAGAACTACAGCTTTTATGAGGTGATGCACCTAGAGAGTCAAGAGGGAGGAGACCCTATTTTAGGCTCATTTTTAGGGCTTGTCTTACTCTCGAATATCACCATGGCACAGCAACTCTGAGCTGCCAATAATAAAATCTAATTCAAGACTGGGAGCACCTAAGGTATGATACAGTAACTACAAATAGGTAGGAGAGGGAGAGTGAGCACAGAAATGGGAGTAAGAATCTCTCATTCAAGATGAGTCTGAAAAGAGTAATTGCAGAACACATAAAGAAAACTAACCCTACTAAAGAGATCCCACAAAATTAATAATCGGGAAGAATTTACTCCAGAGGAAATAAAAATAATAAAGCAACCTGAAAAGGACTTCAATAAGTAAGTTGAGAATCCTAAAAGAAGGAATGATATCCATTACAAAAGGTCAAAAGAGACGCAGAGGGATAATCAAGGACTCACAGTGGAAGGCTGCTGGAACCACACCAGCTACCAGCTGTCAGGCTGAAAACTTCTTTTTCCCCCATTGTTCAAGTTTGTTCTCTGACCACACCCTAGATGAATTAATGCTGGTGGGACACTCCCTTGAATTGATCTGGTTCATCTCCATTATAATATTTCGAGTGCTCAGAGTCTAGGCTCCATTCACACTCACAGTAGAAAAGCAGCAGGGAATCACTGGTTTCAACACCTCCCACAAGGAGAGAGGCTCCTCCTGGCTATTTTCAGCTTCCTTTTTTCAGTCAACCTTCCCTTTCTCTTAGCCACAGTCAAAACGAGCCCTGCTACTGCCTGGCATCTACATTTTCACAACAATAAAACACAGCAAAGGAACCCAAACATAAAAGACTGTGGTGCTTTGTTCTGGGAAACAATGATTCCCCCAGCCTGTGGGAAAGTGATTGATAATGGAGCGATTCCCTTCTCTCTTCTGAGATGGTCTGGATGGCGTAACATTTAGCGTTGTCTTTCTCAAGCAAAGCAGATCATCATGCAGTCCCACACTGGTTTCTTGAGAGAACTGAAGATTCTTTGGCATATCCCACATAGGGGAATCCCTGGGGGTCTTAGGGGGTGGAATGGGTGTACTAATCAAAACACCTGGCTGCTGACCTCAGAGGCTGACATGCCCCAAGGTAAACTAAGGCAGCAACAGCTCAGAAAATTTGAGAACAACAGACATTTGAAATAGGGGTTAGATGATGAGTTCTGAGGTCAAATGGCTCAACACAAACTGGAGCCCTCCCAAATGTGACCTTGGACAAGCTGCCTGGTATCCCTGCATTCTCTGTGACTTAAGGATGTAAAAGCTGTCATCCTAGCAGATGTTATGAGGATTCAAGGACATCAATCTCACAGAACATTGAGCACATCTTACTGCACAGGGTCAAGGCTCAAACAAGCGGCCCCTTCCCTCCCAAAGGCACAGCAACGGCTGCCTGCCTCTTCTATGTTCTGCCACCAAACAGCCACCTGGTTCACACCATCCGCCTCTCTCTGCATCTCATTTAGGAAGAGTGAACTGTAAGAATGGAGCACAGGGAAGAGAAACAAGGCTGGTCTTTCACCCAATTTTCTGGTGGTTGTAGAAATGCTTACATCTATCTATTTTACTTATATTCCATCTCAGTGATTCAAGGTCAGTTGCTTAACCCATGAAATGAAATCAATCTTCCCAGGAAAAAAGCTCAGAATCTTAATCCATGATATTCCCATGCAAAGGGAGAGAAACATCTTCATCTCTTTCCAGTGTAGCCTCCCAAATTGGCCCAAGCGTGAATAGGCACTGAAGTCAGGTACCACTTACTATACTGGGCGCAGCCTGCTAAAAGCAGCCAGTCACAGGGAGAGCTACTGAAAAGCAACACTGTCTTGAAACTAACGACCCCCCCACCCCACACTTCAAGAATCACAAAAGACTTAGCCAAGTGCCAAAGCCCTTCCTACCTGGATGGTAAAAGAAACCCACTCAGTGACAAAGACAGCCAGGTAAAGGCACAAAGAAAATGGCAAAGGTACCAACTTGAGCCTCCTCCAACTATGAGACTTTATTTGCCAGATTACAAGCATCTCACATTGTCCATGCTTGTTTACCCTGAAGGAGCCCAGAGGTGGGCACAGGGACCCGTGGTTCCACACACAGCTCAGCAGGGAAGCCAGCATTTGTCCCCACTGTCCCCTGTGGTGGTGGGCACAGATACCTCCCTGACATGCATGTGTTTGCAGGCCTTGGAGGGAAATTCAGAGTCTTCTGCTCACCTTTCTGATCCTGTGAAGATGCTGAACAGCAAGGTGACTTACCCTGGAAGGCCTCCTAACTGACCCTGTGCGCTAAGAGAGCTGTCCACCCAGGGAAGTGGGCAGTACCCCGATTAAATCAAGCCTTCCTGAATTAATCAGAGCCGCTGAAGAAATGCCACCAAGCAAAATGCAGATCACTACACGCTGGTTGCACACTTGAGACCAGAAGGGCTCTGAAATGTGGGCCTGGAATTGCAATACAACAAAACGAGAGTCCCCAGCAGCCAGCGCGGTGGCACCAGCCATGACAATCCCCAGGAGGAGGAAGAGGAGGAAGACGGGGCGGGGGCGGACTAACATAATCTAACACTGTCTGAGTAACAGGGTTTTCTACAGCCTGGGGGGAGGCACCAGCACATGGGCACCTCAGATCACACAAACGCACGTGTGGTTCCATGCTGCAGAGTAACTGACACCCTCGCTGGGTCCCCCATCGTGGGGTTTTGACGCTGTTGAGTACCGACCACATCTGGGTGCCCAGTAGTCTAGTGTGATGACTCATGCCCGCCGCCTAGTGACAGGGAGCTGGTGACTCCCATGCTGCTGAGACCCTGGCGGGGAAACTTTCTCAGCTCCAGCTGTAGGAACCACCCCCGTCTCAGCTTTGTGACCTGAAATATAACAATCGTGAGAAGAGAAAACCTGGCTTCCAGATCTCTCTGCTTCTTCAGAAATGGAATGGCTTTCTTTTCCAGGGAAGGACACGTAAGCATTGTGACCAGAATCGCTTCTGTCTCCAATCCCTTGAGGTTAAGGCCACACACAAGAGGGGTGAGGGTTCCCAGCCCATGGGTGCCCTCTGGAGACAGGGCCTACCCCATAAGAATCAAAACACACCATCTGTGGAATTTATCATCTGCAGCCACAGAGAGGAAGCACACTTCCTTACTTCCACTCATGCCCACCGGAGCCTTCGGGGTTTGGTTTGAAGACTCCTAGCACCACGTGTCAGCAAAACCCCCTCCCAGGGCAGCTACAGAATACGCCAGTTAAGGAGAAAGTTTAATCCATTGCTATCCACTAACACATTAAACAGGAATGCCTTCATTTTCTTTTCTAGTTGCTGTGTTGCAAAATGATGGGCAAAAAGTGAATTCTAATGAGGATGAGGGAGGAAGGAAAAGCACCAAGCAAGCCTCCCAAATGCCTCCGCTCACTGGGAGAGGCGCGCAACACGCACCACGGACAGGGCCAGACGTTCTAGAGGTTAGGGAACGCGGCAACCGGCCCGCCCAGGCCACGCTCCTAGACAGCAGCTGCGACCCTGTCCCTCCTGTGGGGGCCATGTGGGGACAGAAACCAGCCCTGACAGCTCTCCGTGTCTTTAGGAGCTGCAATGCTGGGTTTCCATCCAAAACATCCCTGTTGGGATATGGCGGCTACTAATTCAAAACACACACACCATGGACTCCCTCCCAAAACAAACGTGTCTGCAGGTGGAATTCAACTTAAAGGTAGGGGCTCCCTACCTTTGGGACTCCCTCCCAAAACAAACGTGTCAAAACGGCCAGACTTGCATAGAGTCCAAGTGCAGGTGAGGTGAGGGAGGTGCAGGGAGCCCCCGGGGGAGGGTGTGTGTGGACTCCCTGTGTACAGGGAGAGGAGGAGCAGCTGGGTTTCCACAGAGGATGCCCCATGGTGCCTGAGGCCACCTCCCGCCTGCTGTGGACTGAATCGCATCTCCCCAGATTCTTACCTTGAAGCCCTGGCGCCCAGGGTGACTATATTTAGAGACAGGGCTCCTAGGAGGTACTGAAGATTACATGAGGTCATGAGATCCTAACCTGGTGGGGCGGGGGCTTTCCAAGAGGAGGACAATCTTGGTCTCTCTCTGTCTCATGCTGCCTATTTCGGTTTTCTTTCTGCCTCTGTCAGTCTTTCTGTCTCACTTTTCTGTCTCTGTCTCTGTCTCTCTGCCTGTCTCTCTGTCTCTCCCAGTCTCATCTGCCTCTCTCTCTNACCCCTAGATTCTCAGCCTCCATCGCTTAAGAAATAGATTCCTTTTATTTATAAAGTACCGAGTTTCAGGTATTCTGTTATAAGCAACAGAAAACAGACTCAAACAGGGAGTTCGATTTGTAT